ATGGCTGACCTCTCACCCACATGACACCAGAACTCCAGACCCTCTTCTGGGTTCCTCACAGACACTCATGTGGGCTCTCTGCCTGGTCTGTCCTTTCAGTTGCCAGAAGGCATCTGCTTTTCTGCCTCAAAGCTCTGTCTCTCCTTTGCTCTTCTCCACCAGATGGGAAGCCTCCCTATTGCCAAGGCATAGGTACCATCGTAAGTACAATGTTGCCTTTACCAGACAAAGCTCTCCAGGGGCCTCCAAAGCTCTCCATTTTCTGGGGACCCATGTGGTGCTTGGCTCCACGAGAAACAGGGCAAATGGCCTTTTCCCTAATTCCATGCCATGTCTTGTCACTTGGTCCCAGATGGTTCTGCTTGATTCCAGAGCCTTCCATAGTCACACCTGACTGTCCATCAGCCTCTGATCCTCAGCCCTGCTCCGTAGCCTACCCGAGTCTTCCCGGCTGGTTGGGACATAGAGCCAGAAGAGCTTTGTCTTCTCCTCTCAGCAAAAACCCCATTCTTCCTGAAATTCAAGTAGCAGAGTTTCTCCAAGCTGTATCTTTTCCTGTCCCACATCTGTTGTTGTTAACTCTTGGGATCCTCAGCATCTCTAAACAGCTCCATTTCAGCAGAACGTCATTTTGCTCCTTCATAAAAAACTAACAGGCTCTCTGGGTCGGTTTCCCCAGATCAGAGAAAGAAACTGTCCCCAGAGAGGTTTAATCTCCACATATTGCAATAGTGAAAACAGATAGAATATTTAAAAGTACAGTTTTTTTCGACTTCTGTGTTCCTCAGCAAGCTTGAGATTCATGGAGCCGCATTCTCCCCGGGAGCTCACATTCATGGTACTGCATGCTTCCCCTCCCCCAGCAGCTCCTGCCAGAAGGAAGTTTCTCCTAAGCACGCAGCCTATGGTGACAACTTCTTGGCAGAGGGCAGTCTACTTCTTTTCCATGTCTGTCCACTGAGCCTTTCCCAGTTTTACATGATAATAATACAACTTACTGGGGCTCCTGGGTGGCTCAGTGGGTTAAGCGTCTGCCTTTGGCTCAGGTCATGATCCCAGGGTCCTGGGATCGAGTCCCGCATCGGGCTCCCTGCTCAGTGGGGAGCCTGCTTCTCCCTCTCCCTCTACTGCTCCCCCTGCTTGTGCTCTCTTTCTGTCAAATAAATAAATAAAGTCTTTTTAGAAAAAATAACACAACTTATTGAGGATCTCACATGCATTATCTGAATTAGTCCTCATAATAATCCTATAAGATAGAAATTATTTTCCTTCATTTTTTTTTGATAGAGAAACTGAGGCTGAGAAAGGGTAAGTGGATTGAGCAGTTAGTTCGAACAGAATTCGAACCCAGGTCTTACTCCATAGTCTGAGACTTAAATGTCACGACATATCTTCTAGGGGGAAAATCCTACCACAAACCTTAGTGAGTCTGAGTGTCCAGTCTGTGCATTTCTCCTGGAGTCCTGACCTGAGGCCTTGAACAATCCCTTGTGGTAAAGTGTGTTGTCTTTCATTTCCCCTTTTTATCAGACTTCTGACTCTTCATTACATGGTACTATTCCTGGGCTCTTTATTACATGGTCTGATTGTCTCTAGTTGACAGTTGAATACGTGCAAGCTCAGGGAGCTTACACAAGGAAGGGAGCGGGATTATAATATTTACATTAAGACTGGAGGTATAGAATTCGTATGCCACATCAGCGATCCCATGAAATTATGTTCAATCATTTTATTGGTTTGGGTTTATAGTTTGACTCACACTTACTGTGTAAATTGGTCTGTATTTCATTTCTTTGGCTTTGATTTCATTTATAAATTTACTTTGGTTTCTAATTTTCTAAGCTTCAGGAATTTATACCCAGCATTATTTTTGTTTATATTTAAGCAATACCATAATAAAAACAGTTTACTTCAGTACTACAGGCTCCATGAAAGTGCTCTCCCATTACTTAGAGAAATACTGGGACACAGCTTCCCATTTTGTGCTCCCTACAGCCCTGTGAGACACGTATTCTCACCCTAGTTTATAGACCAAGCAACAGGGGCTTGACCAGATACACATACAGCCCATGTGAGCACATCTAGGAAGTGACAGGGGCAGATGCAAACCAGGGTCTGAGTCAAAGTCTAGGGCTGTTTCCTGGAAACTTCTCCTTAGCAATAGGACTTTATTTCACACATTCAGCAGAAGTGTTATTTGTTAGATGTTAGATGTCTCATCTTAGGACAATGATATTCAGCCTTAAGAATTTAACAAATAATGCCTCTGGGAAACTATTTGAGCAAGCCTGGCAAAGCAGTCAGCATCCAAATTAGATTGGCAATAAAGGTTTCAAACACTAAGAAAAACAGTATTTGAATTCTATTTTGCCCCATGTGCTTTTCTGACAAAACACAGACCTCAGGTTGGGGAAGAGGGAGCAGAAGGCCAGGTGTTGGGGTGGAGAGGAGAAGTGGGGGTGGGGAGAGAGAAGGAGAAGGGGGAAGTTTAGGGTTGGAGCCTGAGTTTTCTCATCAGGGGAAAAACAAAAGAAGCAGTTGTCCTAGATCGAGTGTACAATAATCCTGGGAGTATGAGAGCTACTTTCATTATTTAAAAAAGTCTAACATAAGGAAAGAAATATAGGATAATTTAAACCTCAGGCTTCTTTGTTTGGGCTATAATTATATTAACTCAAAGAGGGTATCACTGGTTTGCTCATGCTGAGTAGAAACTCAGATGAGAAATCATAAATGATTTGGATTAGTAAAGTAAAGGAAATGGACTACTTACTAAATTTCATGCGTTAAATGAATAAATCTTCAAAAACATTTATTTGTTCAACCAGTCATTGTGAGTTGACTATGTGGCAGGCAGGGGATACACAGAGATGAGTAACGTGTTGTTCCTGTCCTCAAGGGCGTGCGTGCGTGTGTGTGCGTGTGTGTGTGTGTGTGTATGGGGGTGGGGGGGTCAATGACACATGCGCTAGCATTTATAATTAAGTGTAGAAACACAATGATGGAATAATGCAGAGAGGAGTAGAGGTCTGGCAGGACCCAGGGAGACAGATCCTACCTTGGTCTTAGGGGTGGAATGAAGTCTTTGGGTCAGAGAAGGCTTTCTGTGGCAGTTAGGAAATGAGCTGAATCTTAACAGGATGAGTCAGAGAGGAAGGGAGTGAATTCTGGCCAGAGGGAGCTGTGCCAGCAAACAACACGGAAGTGAGAAACTTCACAGTGGCTTGACAGAGACTTATAAGCAGTTTGGTGTTGCTGATGCATAAATTGTGAGGCGCGAGGAGATTCGAGAAGTCAATAAAGGGGCCGGATATTGGAAGTCAATTATATGGGGTGAACATAAACGTTATCATCCCAACTGGCACAATTCTGAGATTGGAAGGAGGACACTTTTAATAATTACACTAGAACCACAGACACAAACAGGTAAAGTTGGATGTCCTATTTACAGGCCATGTCTCACAGCTTAGACTTCCTCATTGAATGATGTGGGATCGCTGAGGGCTTTTGGGCAAAGAAGGGACATGATGAGATTTGACTTGTAAATAGATTTTTATGTCTAATGAGTTCACAGAAGGAGAAGATTCAGGGAAAGCTCTACCTTCCAGATGTATTTATTCAAGAACTCTTACTTGAGAGCTGCACTATATGGGAACTAGGCACGCAACATGAACAAAGCCATGATTGATTCCTGCTTTTAAGAAGTTTGCAGTTTAGTGGGGAAGACCGTCAATAATCAAATACCACACAAGGAATTGTAAAATTACAAATGTTGACAATGCTATGACAGGGCGGGGGGCCGGTAACTGATGCTATAAGAACATTTCTTGGGAATGGAGAGGTCAGAAATGAGTAGTAGAGGGGCGCCTGTGTGGCTTAGTTGGTTAAGTGTCTGCCTTTGGCTCAGGTCATGATCCTGAGATCATGGGGTCCTGGGATCGAGCCCCATGTCCTCGGGCTTCCTGCTTAGCAGGGAGTCTGCTTCTCCTTCTGCCTCTGCCCCTCCCCCTGCTCGTGCTCACTCTCTCTCAAATAAATAAAGAAAATTGTAAAAAAAAAAAAGAAATGAGTAGTAGAATCTGACTAAAGAGAAGAGGAAAGAATATTCTGGAAAGAGATAAGGTATACAAAGACCTTCTGGTGAAAGGTGTGGAATGCCTGACAACACAGAAAAAAATAGAATAAGAAGCCATGTAATTGATGTACAGCAAAAAATGTGTTGTATGATAAGAGAACAGCATGTGCCAAACGGTAAATATCATATGCATGAGCCTCAATTCTGAGCAACACCGACCTAGCAGGTTCTTCACTGTGAGTGGCTAACTTGATAAGTTGACTTCTCTGCCTCCTACGAGGACTTAGAAGACAATGGGTAGTAATGTCGATTCTCTTCTACCTTTATCTCGTATATATCCTTCAGACTGCCATTTGTTCAACTAGTAGTAAACCGAGATTAAACCAGCCAGAAAAAAACAAAACTGATTAAATTTTTTCAATCTTCAGACCCAGATCTGCTTTTCTTGACCGACCTGGCATAGGAGGTGGCATGACCATTTGGAGGGACTAGAAGGCCAGTGTGGCTATAATGGGGAAAGTGACAGGGTTTGTGGGAGAGTGCTGATTAGTTATGATCTTAGGTAATATACTTCATTTGGCTAGGTCTTAGTTACTTAAATGCATACAAAGGAATAGGAATCTGTGTCTACTTTAGGGATTATTATTAATTTGAATATCAAATGAAGTAATATCTGGTTATAGGATTAAGAATATTTGTTGGGACCAGGCATCTTCTGGAATATGCCTGACTTATAACTTATTATCAAGAATCTTAGAAGGGGTTGCCAAGGGGAGTTTTGTTGAAATGTTTAACCCAATGTAATGATCAGTTTTTATTCTTAACCCAGATTCCTTCCAATCTGAGTAATATACTAGTTATCAATTGCTGCATAACAAATTATCCCCCAAATTAGCAGCTTAAAACAACAAACATATTATCTTACAATTTCTGTGGGTCAGGAATCCAGTTGTGGTTTTGCTGGGTACCTCTGGCTCAAGGTCTCTCATGAGGGTGTAGTTAAGCTGTTGTCTGGGACTATGAGCTCAACTGGGGGAGCATCTGCTTCCAAGCTTATTCATCTTGTTGTTGGAATGCCTCAGAAGATCTTCTTCCAGGCTCACTTACATGGGCGTCTCTGAAGGGCTGCCTCACAATATAGCAGCTGGCTTCCCCCGGAGTGAGCAATCAAAGAGGAAGTTAGAGGGAGAGTGGGAAGCACCCAAGACAGAAACCACAGTATTTGTATAAACTAATTTTGGAGGTGACATTTCATTACTCCTGTCTTATTCTAGTCACTAGAAGCGAGTCAATAAATCCCAGGGGAGGGGGTCATACAAGGGTCTGAATACCAGAAGGTAGGGATCACTGGGGACCATCTTAGAAGCCACCTACCACTCCAGTGACTTGATTTATTAAGGGAAAAGACTTATGGACAGATCTGGTTGGGAAGAAGTGCTGTTGTTTTCCTTTCATCAAAGGAAACTAGGAGCCACCGAAATCATGGCAAATTATATAAATTTTGGAAATCTCAGGTGAGTTATGTAAATCTCTGCCTCATTGTCCACTTTATCTTGGGCTAAGCTCTCCAGAGATTGGACAGTTTGAATTTCCCCAACAAAACTTAGGGGCCCACAGACCATGATTCACAGTGTTCTAAGAATGTTTTTATTTCATGACATCAGATCTGTGGGTCAAAAGGCTTCCCTCTTAACTGGCAAATCCTGGTGCTGACAAGGGGCTGAAACAGGGACAAAAGAGTCTTTTCCTTTCTTCCTTTAAAAAAAAGTTTGCTGTGGGGCGCCTGGGTGGCTCAGTCAGTTAAGTGTCTGCCTTCAGCTTGAGTCATGAACTCAAGGTCCTGGGATCGAGCCCCGCATTGGGCTCCCTGCTCAGCGGGGAGCCTGCTTCTCCCTCTCCCACTCCCCCTGCTTGTTCTCTCTCTCTCTCTCTCTGTCAAATAAATTAAAAACAAAACAAAACAAAAAAAGATTTCCTGCGACCCACCTTTGGCTCTTCCCCCACCCCCACCCCCTTTTTTTCAATGCAATATAGCAAGTGTTTGGATTCCAGAGAGGAATAGCCCGGAGGAGAGTCCCGGTCCTGCCTCTTCCTAGCTGTGTAAACTTAGCTCTAGCTTTCTGCGGCAGTTTCCTTATTTACACAAGGAGAAAACCACCAGTGTTTACCACACAGGGTTGTTATGAGGAATAAGTCAATGCAGGGAAAGCACTTAGAGTACCTGGCACAAGAGGGGCACTCAAAGAATGTTCAGTATTCTTCTTCTAGCTCTTCTTGCCCCCAGAGCTCTTGCTCTGTCTGAGATGCCATATGCACTGCAGGCAAAGCTCGAGCAGAGCAGAACGGAAGCGGTGTTTCTCCTTTCCTCCTTACACACTTCCTTAACTTCTCCTGCTCCTCCTCCCTCTCCTTCTTCTTTCCCTTCTTCTTTCTTTTTTTGAACCGTAGTTCTCTTTGATTGTATGGCACAGAATTAGGATTTGAATAATTATCCATGTTCAGTGCATAAGGATACGAGACTGTGCGCATGTGCGAGCACATGCGTGTGTGTGCGTGTGTGTGAACGTGTATGTGAAGAGATAAGTTGCCTTCTTCTCCCATCTCCACCTGATAAAACACTCTCTTTTTAAAGACCCACTTTAAATATCACCATTTCTAAAAAATAAATAAATAAATAAAAGTCTTCCTCAGTCCCCAGCCCATGTGATCAATAACTTCTCACTTTCTATCAACAACCTAATTGTATTTCTCTTGTGGAATTTGACACAATGTATTCAAGTTGTGGAACCGGTGGAAAACAGTTACTGTTTTTAGAGTAGCCAAAGACCCCCTCGGCCTTCATGCTCATTCCAAATTCTATTTAGAAAAGAAGCACTCATGGTAAAACTTGCTTTCCTAATAAATTGATAACTCATCAGCCACTTCCATGAGCCAAATGGAAAATCCCCTAAATGTCGCTATTCCTCGGAGGAATGTGATCCCCTTGGGGCCGTGGAGTGACACCTCAGATTGAGGCCAGGGCACATTTCCTACTCAAAACCCAGCCTCCTGAAATTTTTGAACATGTCTACTTCCAAAATTAGAGAGAACACCTAGCAGAACAGCTTGGCTGTTTGTAAAGGAAGGGGTGAATGCTTCCCAAGGAGGAATTTCTAGGACACCAAGCGACAGAACCGGAGAAAATAGGACACATAGAAGAGTCCAGTCAAACAGAGTTCAGTTCCCTCTAGCCTGAGGGTACCTTGTGTAGAAAGGTTATTTATAAAAGCATGTAAAACAAGCAGTAAATAAAATCAGTGACTTTACCATATTAAAGGAAGAGAGTCCAATCCTCGCCATAAGGACTTGACGAATATGATTAATAAATACTTATCATGATTTTTTTTTTTTTAGGAGGCTCCGTGCCAGTGTGGAGCCCAATGTGGGGCTTAAACTCACAACCCTGAGATCAAGACCTGAGCTGAGATCACAAGTCAGACGCTTAACCGACTGAGCCACCCAGGCGACTCAGCATGATTTTTAAAGCATAGAATTTAATGTTCCTTCTACGTCGGGTTTCTGCCAAACTCTACTATAGGGGCTGCTGTGGTGTGCTGCTCAGATTACAATTCAGTCTCCCCCTCTACCTATTCCTGCCCTCAGGGGTGTTGTGGAAACTCCTGTGGTCAGTGGGTGTTATTACAGATCTCTGCCTCATGGTCTCTTTCCCAGGGAACACAACCTACATCCCCTACATTCCATCCTATGTAATAGTTAATGAATGAGGAAACTGACAGCGTGTCCAGAGCCTGTGCCGAAAACACTCATTCATTATTTCGTTTAATACATCGACCTGATGAAGTAGTATTTTTATGCCCATTTTACAGTTGAGGACATTGAGGATCGGAGAAGTTTAATAAATTGCCCAAGGTGGCATAGCAATTGAGCAGTAGAATCGGATTAAATGAGGTCACATCTTCAAAGTCCTTACACGGTGCTTGGCATGGAGTAAGGGTTTGGCAAAATGATAACAATCATTATTATTATTATCAGTCAATCCTAACCAGAGATTTTAGCAAGCTGGACCATTTACCAAGAGTTAGAACATTTAACCACGCTTCCACAGAGCAGGCCACCTAACTTACGAATCTAATCCCCAGAGGTTATCCTAGACTATTATGAGAAATGAGGAGGCAATGGCCAAGTGGGGTGATTGCATTATGAGTAATAACAGAGCCAGCTGTTTATCTTGTCACAGAGGCATGTGGGTTGCTTAGGGAATAAACAGGTTGCTGCTGGAAACGTGATATCTTGAAAAGCAGCTAGACTTTAAAATACAACCTGATTCAGTTGAGTGGCATTCTCCCCAGCCCCTAGCATCGCGTTTTCCATTGAGTATGTGCTTCAGTCAGTGTTTATTAACTGCTTGCATCTGGTTGCTGGCAAAATTCACTTGCTCAGTTCAGAGGCAAATAATGAACATTTCTGTTCATTATAATAATGAATATTTTGTAAGCACCAATATAGGGCACCGTGCTTCCTTTATTTCATGCAAAATTGGGGGCTATGTGACATTCAGAAGCTCAGTTTGAGCCTCTCTTACTGAATTTTAATGAAATAATTCAAACCAATGCTGCTGATGTGAGAAAGACGTATTTCATACCTGGTCTAGTGGCTGGGAGTCCACCCTTTCACGGCCTTGATGGGTATGGCCATACACCCTTGAAATGACTGACAGGCCCCGAGTGGAGGTCCAGAGCTGGGCTTCCTGACACACGTCTCCACATGATTAGGTTAAACTAGAATAACTTCCACTAGTTCTATTGATGTTTTCTGGTTGGAGTTAGTCAATGCAAATCAAGCAGCTAATTGGGTTTCTACCCGTGCCAGTGACATCATCTTGTGAGGGAGAGAATCAAGAAGAGACCAAGACCCAAGTGTTCCAAGAGCTTAGTAGGTAAATTATCAGGGGAACAATTAAGAAAATACGTGTGGGTATGGAGTCATCATGGGTAGATTTTGTGATATAGATCGTGGGAGTGTATTGTAGCTTAGAGATGGGAGAGAATAATCTGGGATAGAGGCATCTGGAGGAAGGTTTTTTGGTGCCTCTACCACCCAAAGGCTTCATTCATTCATTTAACAAGGTTCTATTAAACACCTTCTATTTTCCAGGATCTGTGCTAATTAATGGGATTCAGAAAGTCACCACAGTCTCTGCTTTCCAGTGGCTCACAGTTTAGGGCAGAAAGATAGATTTAGAAGAAACTACAACTACAAGTGGGGCTTTCTCAGTTTTGGCACTGTTGACACCTTGAGCTGGATACTCTTTTGTTGGGGTGGGGACTGCCCTGTGGATTGCAAGACGTTTAGCAGTATCCCTGATCTCCATCTACTGGATGCCAGTAGCATCCTCCCCCTACCCGTGAGCTGGGACAACCAGAAATGGCTCAAGATAATTGTCTGGAGCGGAAAATTGGCCCCAGTTGAGAACCACTGGAGAAACACAAGAGGAGATGGGGCAGGAGGTGGCAGAGAGAACACGAGGGAACTTGTGGACCATGCTAAAGTTTCAGTCTTTATGTAGTCATCTGGTCATTCATTGATTCAACAAGTATTTAGTGCTAACGCTGTGCGAGCCATTCTTCTAGGTGTCCTGGATGCAGTAATGAACAAAGCAGACAAAAATATTTGGCCTCGTACTGCTTACATTCTGGTAAGAGGGGATAAACTATAAACCCAATAAATGAGTAGATAGTAAGTTTGAAGGTGATAATGCTATGGGGAAAAAAGAAAAGAGAAAAAAGGGGGATAGGGAGTTTTGTATGAGACAGCAATTTTAAGTAGGATATTTATTGTTAAGACTGACAGTATTTTTTTCCCTAAAGGGAATTTCTAGCATATGTGGTCTACAGGTGGGTATATTGCAGAGTCCCATATTATTAAAGAACCCAGCCTTTTCTGTGTCATCTGAATTGGGCTCTGCACTTCTGCTCTACTCTGTGAGATGAGTTTATACGCTTCCCATATCTTATGATTCATGAGAGAGCAAATTCTGAATGGCTCATTCATTCATTCATGCATTTATTCATTAGTTCAACACTTATGGAGAAGCCAGCAGGCCTGGTGCCAGACACCAAGGATAGATAAAAAAGATATCATATGACACACAAGTTCTGCCTCTGAGGCTTTCCCAGGGG